CCTGCCCTGGGCTAGTGCAGGGTTCAAGCTTAGTGGGGCCACCAACCCATTTCCCCATCTCCGGACCCAGCTCTCTCTTGCCGCCCACCTGGGTGCGGGCTGGGACGGGGGAGGGACACAGGGTGGAGGCGCTCACCTGGGGACAGGCCTGGCCGTAAGGTGGGGCCCCGGCGCATCAGGTACAGCATGCAGTGGGGCTGGTGCTCCTTGAAGGGCAGCTTCCCGGTCACCATGGTGTAGAGGTTGACACCTCTGGGGGCATGGGCTTCCCAGGGCGTGCCCCCTCCCCACCCCGCCACTCCCCTCCCCTCCCTAGGGGTCCTGGAGCCCGTGAGGTGGCGCTCACAGGCTCCACGGGTCAGCCTGCTCCCCGCTGTACTTCTCGCTCGTGAGGACCGCCAGGGCTGTGTAGGCCAGAGAGCCGCAGAGGAAAAAAAAAAAAAAGCTTCCCCTCCTCTGACAATGACTGCATGGTTCCCTCTTTCTACACCTCACTCTGACCCCTCTTTGACCTCATTAAGACCTCTAATTCACTGAACCTACCTTTTTTTTCATTGGCCATCAACCTCTTCATATTTTTTCTTTCCTTCTCACACAGTTTCATTTTCATGGTCCATCATAATAGTCATTCTCTTAGAAACATTCCTCTCTGCCGTCACAATAGAAACGTTCCCTAATATAGCTCAGCTTCAAAAAAAATTTCCCCTAAAAAATCAGTAACTTTACAGTGGAAAAACCTGACAGACACTCCCTCAGCCAAGTGATAAAGATTAACATCAACAGGGATAAGCCACATTGATAGCATGCACCCTTGATACGAGGTGATGACAGTGGCACTTTACCTCTGGTCTTCCTCCCCCAAACCCATAACCTCTGTCTAAGAAAACCATCAGAGAAATCCAAATTGAAGGATGCTGTTCTGTAAGAATATCCGACCAGCACTCCTCAAAACTGTCAAAGTCATCAACAACACAGAAGGTGCGAATAACTATTATGATGGACTATGAAAACTGTCACCGTTTAGGGAAGCCTAAGGAGACACGACAATTAGATGTAATGTGGTCTCTTGGATAGGATCCTGGAACAGAAAAAAAGATGTTAGGTAAAAACTAAAGAAGCCTGAATAAAATACAGACTCTAGATAATAAAAGCATACCAATATTGGTTCCTTGGTTGTGACATACGTACCGCAGTTAAGTTAGCAATAGAGGGAGCTCAGTGCAGGAACGCTAATATTTTTGCAACTTTTCTGTAAATCTATAATTATTCTAAAATAAAAGTTCGTTAAATGTTTTTTAAAAAAAAACTTCCCCTGACCCCTTCCTCCAGCTCTACTCCATTTCCCTGCTCCCCTTCATGGGGAGACTTTTTTTTTTTAATTTATTTTATTGAAGTATAGTTGATTTACAATGTTGTGTTAATTTCTGCTGTACAGCAAAGTGATTCAGTTATACAAATATATACATTCTTTTTCATATTCTTTTCCATTATGGTTTATTATAGGTTATTGAATATAGTTTTCTGTGCTAGACAGTAGGTCCTTGTTGCTTATCTATTTTATGTATAGTAGTGTGTATCTGTTAATCCCATACTCCTAATTTATTCCTCTCCTCCTTTCCCCTTTGGTAACCATAAATTTGTTTTCTATATCTGTGAATCTGTTTCTATTTCATAAATAAGTTCATTTATATATTTTTAAAATTCCACATATAAGTGATATCATATAATATTTGTCTTTCTCTGTCTGACTTACTTCACTTAGTATGGTAATCTCTAGGTCCATCCATGTTGCTGCAAATGGCATCATTTCATTATTTTCACAGGGAAACTTCTTGAAGAAGTTGTGTATTGCTGTGGTCTCTGTGCCTTCACCCCAGCCTGCCCATGCCTCAATCCACTCCCATCACACCCCCGTCCTTAGCTCTCCACCACCAGCTCTCTAGTCAAGGTCAATGATGATCTCCATGTTGCCAAACCCCAGAGCCATTATTTCCTCCTCACTTTACCTGGCCTTTCAGTCTAGTATGTGATCCAGTTAACTATTCCTACTTCTTTTTTTTTTTTTTTTTTTTTGTGCGGTACGCGGGCCTCTCGCTGTTGTGGCCTCTCCCGTTGCGGAGCACAGGCTCCGGACGCGCAGCTCAGCGGCCATGGCTCACGGGCCCAGCCGCTCCGCAGCATGTGGGATCTTCCCGGACCGGGGCACGAACCCGCGTCCCCTGCAGGCGGACTCTCAACCACTGCGCCACCAGGGAAGCCCAACTATTCCTACTTCTTAAAACATCCTCCTCTCTTGGCTTCTGGGATACTGAAATCCTGGGGTTTTTTTCCTACCTGTTGCTGTTCCCACCAGCCTCTTTGCTGGCTCCTCCTCTCTCTGACTTCTACCAGCGCTGCCATGGCCCAGGGCTCTATCTTAGGGCTCTACTGTTTGCCTGTGCTCTTACCTCCTAGGTATAGTTCATCCAATCTCAGGGATTTAAGTACAGTTTACCTACGGTCAATCCCCAAGTTAGTATCTCCAGCCTCGACCCTATGAGGTAGGCACTCTTATCATGGTCCTTTCACAGGAAAGCAGACACGGGCTATCAGACATGAAGGGGCTTCCCCCAGGTTACACAGCTAGAAGCAGCAGAGCCAGGATTTGAACCCTGGTCTGTCTGACTCCAGGCCTGTGCTGTGAGTGGCCAGGCTGCCCTGCCGCCCTCTCCTTCCATCCCAGCTCCTGACCCCGCCTGATCCCCAGGGTCTTCTGCACGTGCTGCTCATTCTGGCCTCATGCCTTTGTCCCCCTCGTCCATCCACATCTAGAATAACCCTCCCCCACACCGCCTCCCTCTGCATCCTCTTCCATCGCATGGCTGGTTGGGAGGATTTTCCACCCCTGAGGCCCAGGTTGATCTGTCCTGGCCTCCTCTGAACTTCCCCAGGACCTGGGGTCCACCCTAAAGCAACTGAGGGCTCATTTGTATCTATAAGGTTCCCGCTTCCTGAACCCAAGATGGGGGTCCTTGGCCCAAGTACAAGTGCACCTGGGTGACATTGAAACACGGTATCTGTGACTGGGACTGCCTGGGAAAATGTGGGCTGTGGGCCTCCAACACTGTACACCAGCTTGTACGGGCGTCTGAGTTATCCAGGGTGGTTTTTATTTGAGAAGTACTTCAAAACCCTTTTCTCCTGGGGCCTGGGAGGCCAAGGAAGAGTCAGTCTAGAAGTGAAGGGGTTGGTGTAGTTTTCACCGAGGTCACAGAGAGGCCAAGCAGTTCCCACGGGGGCCACTGATCAAAGGAATATTTTGAAGAAATGGGGTGACGCTGTGATCATGATCATTTTAGAAGAACTGAAAGTGCCCTGAGGGAAGAGACAAGGCCCAGGCCTGTGAGGTGGTGGTGGGAAGGGCCGTGTGTGGGAAGGGCCTGTGCACTGGCTGAGAAATCAAGACCTGATGTCATGGGCCAAGGACGTGGCCCCTTTCACTTATGGTGAGTTCGGCCTCAGTCCCCGTGATGCTGGCCTGGGTTTTGCTCCCAGCCCTGCCACTTTGTCTCCCTGGGCGTCAGTATTCTCATCTCTGGAATTAAGAGGTTGAAAAAATAAATGACGGGGTTGGGCTACGTCATTTCCGGGTCCTTTTCGGCATCTTGAGTCCATCTGGGAAAATACATCCAGTACTGTCTTATTGCGGACACTCCTGACTTGAGAGAAGAGCCCAGCTAACCTGGTCACTCTTATGCAGGCCTCCCGATAAAAGTTTTTTCACGTAGAGCAGAGGATGCGCAGGGGCCAGGAGAGCAGGGCTGTAGGTGGTTGAATCTTGTATGTTATGAAGGAAATGGTTCTGCATCGTATCTCCAGAAAAACCCACAGTTCACCCCCCTGCCCAATTTGAAATGTTCATCAGAGCCCATGCTTCAGGAGCGGGGAAATCTTGCCCTGCATGGATCAGAGGGAACTCCACCAGGTGGGGCTGTCTCCTTTCTCAGCTCTGGGTCTGAGTGTCCCCACCCCCCGCAAAAGACAGACTTCTCATCGGGAGTCTGCCAAGCAAAGCAAGCTCTGGGAAGGTGCCACGTCCCACCAAGGTTTGCCCACCTGGAGGAGAACGTATCCAGAGTCAGGAGGAACCCCAATGGCTGATCTATTGCTAATTCTACACTGGCCGCTGCCCCTGCACACCTGGCCACGCAGGCACATACCTACTCCTAAGCCACCTGCGTTTTATAAAAATTATTTTTGTAATTGAAGTATAGTTGATTTACACTGTTGTTAGTTCCAGGTGTACGGCAGAGTGGCCACCTGCATTTTGGAAAGTGAAATCTGAAATGAGGAGCTTTTGAATCAGTCTTCACTCGATTGCTAGAGACAAAACATAAAGGAAGCAGGGTGACTTGGGTGGGGCCCATGTCTTGTGCTTGAGTGCTTTGGAGGGGCTGAGTTCCTCTAATCCATCAGGGACAGTGGCCTCAGTGTCCCCCCCCCCACCCCACCCCAGCTTGCTGCACTTAGAAGCAAGAGGAGCTTGGAGCTGCCCTGTACCCCCAAGGGCTGGAGGACACAATCCCAGCCTTCAGGTGGTTGTGCAATGGCCTCGCCTTAAGGACACCTCTTAAATTGTTGGGGGGTCAGGATAGCACCCACCCAGGTCTGAGTCCTGAGCTTGCCAATGCTTTCAGGCAACTCTGCTCCTGAAGGACGAGCTAAAATATGTCATTCATGGAAGAGCTTCAGAAAAAGAAGAGATGATGTTTTCAGGAAGTCCAAGATGGCGGGCGGGCAGAGCCCAGAAAATCCAATCTGAAGATCCAGGCAGTTGGGAAGAGAAGAGATGAGTAAGCACAGAACCAGAGGGAGGTCTACAGGTTCACGTAGTAACGACAGGAATGGTCTATTTGGAAATGAAAACAGCCCTGCCATGAACTCTACCTCCCAGCAGGCACGGTCAGCGTGAGAGGAGAAAGCACAGCCCACACTATGTTTACATTTCGTTCTTCTGTTAGCAGGGTGTGACTGGCCTGAGCCACTTAATATGGCCCTCAGTTTCATCTGTGAAATGGGCGCTCATGGATCGCTCAGCCCGAGGATCGAGTGAGCTAACAAGGTAAGTGTGAAGCCACACCACGTGGACTGAACTCTTAGGGGAACTATAAGTGTGTGACCCGGGAACGCTGATTCTAGGACTGACCATTTTGAGCAGAGGCCACTGCTGGGTCCCTCCCCCCATCCCACCATGGAGATGGCATCTCTTTCCAAGCAGGCCATGACTTGGAAAAGTAAAATTTGAATTAGGGAACCCATCACGCCCCTGTCCAGTTGGGGCTATTGCCAGGCTCCGGCTCCGTCTGAGGTTATCCTGGCCCTTCCCGTGCACATTCTAGCTGGGAGGGCCCGCGTGAGCCCTGCCGCCTCCAAACTGAGGTCTCCTCTGAGCCCCAGAGCTCAGGCGGCTCCTTTCCCCTGAGCGCCTTCATCCGAAGTGCGGCGTGTGAATACATGTAGGCAGCGGAGTTTTCAGGCTGCTTCCTATAATTTTCTGAAGACAGGAACCCTGACTTCTTTTCTCGGGTCCCTCACAGAACATAGAAAAAGAGGCCCGCAGAAATATGGCCCATGCGTATTTGGTCCATGGACCAAATATGGACCATGGCTTCCTGGTCTTAGATGCCGAGTTTTAACATTAGCCTTTTCTTCCTTTCTCCAGATTCCTATCAATCAGCTGGCCTCAGTCGCCTCACAAAGATCAGTGCCCATGTTCGTTTTCTGTAAACTGTTTAATAAATACATACTTCACTTTACATCAGTGTAGACCATGATAAACCCACAGGAAACAAGAGCCACCAGCAGTGGTAGGATCAGAATACTTTAATAAGATAGCAGAGTGTCAAAATACATTTCCTTATAAAGTTAAGCTCCCGTATAGTAATAATGTTGTCAGTAGGAATTTGACATTTATAATAATGTTCACGAAATCATTATGTTGATAGATAAAGTTAATATGAAGTTTGGAATATTTTTCAGAGTGTTTTAGTAAAACTGCAAGGGTAAAATGCCCTTCATGCTGAGGCAAACACACAGAGAAAATCAAACACCAGCGCTTACATGTCAGTAACCCTTCAAGTTCTGCCGCCTGCCGTACGTGAGGCAGGGCTGTGGTGCTCAAGTAACATTTTTGGCAACACAGTGACTAGGTAATTTTTCTTTTGAGATTTAAATTTTATTTTGTTTGGGGCAGTAAGTCCATCCAGCCTTACCAAATTCTTGGCTTGCTGTGTTTTGCTTTGTGTGTTTCTAGAAACTTCTTCATTGTACCCATGACGGAAAAGTTTCACGTGATTGCTATTTCGAAAACAAATGGCATCGTCCCTCTTACCTGGTGAGTTACGAGACGCTCTGAGAACACTGTTTTCAGTGCTTCCTACCTATACACGTCACTTCTGGGGACAGACAGACCTCAAGGAGGGCCAGGGGCTGTCCCCGGAGGTCTGCCTGCTGCACCTCGGCCGTGTAGGGCGAGCTGATGGTGTGGCTGAGGAAGGGGCATGAGATGCGGCTGGTCAGGACCAGGAGCCCCCCTGTGTGCCCCCCTCAGTCCAGCTCCACGGGCTCCAAGGTGGTGAGCTGGGAGGATGTGGACTGGGTCCCTATACCATTTCTAAATCCTCACCTTCTTTCATGAATTCCCATCTAAACCATCTCATGGTAGTTCTGGAAATATCCAAGTGTGCCCCATGAAAGACCATTAGAGTCACATAGCTCAGTGCACTTGAAGGGCTGGCAATGAAACCTGAAGAAGAGTTTAAAGCGCTTCCCCTCCCTTAGATTTGTCCCTAGCCTCCACCCCTGACGTGCCGTCAGACCCTCTTGGCAGTAATAATAATACGTACATACATACAGAATACATACAGAACATGAGGAGAAGGCAGCTGGCAATGCTCCCACATAATGATTCCACTTTCTGGATTGTGTGTCACGCCTATGGCATGTCCCGAAAGCAAAAAGGCAACAGAGAGGGAGACCTTGAGCAGGGTTAGTACAGGCCCGTGGAGTTCTGTACAATTCTGCAGTGTCAGCAACACCATGAAAAAGAAGATTTAACAGCTTAAAAAAGATCTTAAAGTGATTTTGTGAGCAGGATTCCATTTCCGTTTCTAAGTTTTTAGATATTATAAAGTACCCATATATAAGATAAACACTTAACCCAGATATAAATTTCCTTTTTAAAAAACTCAGTTATGTTTTTGAATAATAATTTAAAAAACTCCACCAAATGCAGGGGGAAAACACCAGTTTAGGAAAAGCCATACTGTGTAACTTTCACAGATAACCACATACAACGGAGTTCACCCTTCACATTTTTTTTTCCCCCCCAAAAAAAATCGTATCAAAATTAGAGCAAAGAGTTGGCTAAAAAAAAAAAAAAAGACTGAAATTTACAATACAGTGATTAGTTTTACAAAAGAAAGGAGGAGGGCTGAGAGAGAGAGGCCACAAATGAAGCTGAGAGAGCAAAATTATTTTGTTTCTCTTTGGCAACAACAACAAAATCCTTTTAGTTAAATGAAGCCAAAGCTTTCCCTAAAGGAGAACAAACAAACGTACACCAAACTTGTTAGTATGAATTGTGTGTGTGTGTGTGTGTGTGAGAGAGAGAGAGAAACCCGTGAATGATATAAATTAGAAGTAATTGAAGTTGGGGAAAGAACAATCTTATAAAATTTAAGAACATTTCCATTGACAGAACAAAACATAGCAGGTAAAACAATTGTATTTTAAAAATATGAATAATAAAGTGAGCATCTTCAGAAAAAGGCCACTACTTGGTGACCTGGGCAAGTTTGCCAGGTAAGTATATCTTGTAAAAAGTGTGTTGGTGTTAGAAATATCTAGTTGCAAAAAAACAGACGGAGACCGTGAAGCTGGTGGGACGACATGGGAAGGGGGTGCCTGTCAGTGGGTGGCCCTGGCTCAGGTGGCCTGGTCCAGGGCTCTGAGGAGGTCCCCTCCTTGGAGGAGCGTGGAGCTTCCTGGGACAGGAACGTTCACCTCACAGTCATATCTGGTCAATTCCGGCAGCAAGTAGGGCTCAAACGAGGGTCCGAGCAGCCGGCTTGTCATGCCTGAAAGAAGAGTTAGTGCCCTTATTTTCAAAACCCTAAATCAAACATCTGGAAAAGGGTCTATTCCATAAGAGGCCAGCATGGAGGAGACGTGTTGGGAAAGCAAGGGGCATTTCCAGTTTTCATGACTCGGGGGGCAGAGGTGGGGCAGCCCTCATTTCACTTTCTTCAATGTCATTTCACTTTCTTCAATGTTGTCTGTCTTTCCCTAGTGACCCAGCCCATGCAGAGAGCAGGGACCCAGCAGAAAGCATGTCGTCTCCATCCCATCAGGTGAGAGGGGGCTGAGACCCCGGCGGGGAGAGTGTGCAGTGCAGACAGAGCAGGGAATGTTCGGGGGACAGGGAGGTTGGATGGAAGGAGAGCCCACGAAGGCCTCCTGGCCTGGGAGGTGGAGGCGTGAGCCAGCGCCTGGGCAAGGCTCGGGGTTGCCAACTGACCCATGCCCACTGTGCACTGGCAGCCGGAAGAAAGGCCGAACAGAGAGAGGGAGCTCTGAAGCAGCTGGTGCCCGCACGCACTTGCACACACACATTACATGCACGTACACAAAATGTACACACATGCATATAGACATGTGTGCACACACACAGGTCCTTCAAGGGCCTGACTTCCAGTTTCAGGACCCCCACCCTTGGCTGCCCCTCTTTCTCTCATGCTGAGAAGGGGAGGCTCCCAGCACCCCACTTCCCAGGAAGAGCAGGCCCGGGTTCCTGGAGGCGGCTCTGGAAGCCCTTCGTCGGCCCCAGTAACGCGAGGCGCCGGCTCTCCCTTCCCCTGGCTTGGCCGCAGTCCCTCATCCCCGGCCCCCCATGCCTGCCTCCCCCACTCGACCTCGCTCCCTCGTGGACGGGGCGGGTCTCACGCCTCTCTGCAGCACCGCAGTAGCAACGGATACTTGCTCACCAGCCCTTTCTAATCCCCCCTTCTTTTACCCTAAGAAACGACCTGAGTTTAAAAAGAATATTATTTTTCCCCTGAAAAGGATGAGTTTCCACTCAAGGAAACTGGGTGCACAGCAGGGACGATAATGCTGGCTCCCACTTACTGCAAACACATCCACGGACTCTACACTTTGCATGCGAGCCTCTTATTTAAATGTGTGGCCTGCTCCGTCCTCCAGCTGGTAACGAGCAGAATTCTTAGCCCAGGCCTGTCTTGTGACTCTAAAGCTCTGAAGCACTGAGCAGCAGTTTGCCCCGAACCATATTGCTGAGGAAATTTCTCTTTTTTAGGGCAGGGGTCCAACAATGTTTCACCCAAACTACAAGCAACCTTTCCGTGACAACATCTACATTTCACAAGATGGTAACAGACTAAGGTGGCCAGTCCTCCCAGAAAGCAAGGTCCAGTAGGGCGAGTCTTCCCAGACCAGCCTGGCCCCCCTCCCAGCAGCACGTCCTCAGCTCAGCTCCTGCCTGAGCTCAGAGTGAGCCCCCCCCCCCCCCCCGGTAGGCAGTAACGTGAAGAACTGAGCAAAAGGCAGGCATAGGCTCGGGGGCTCTTAAGGTGGAAGAGCCCCGGGTGGCACCTGGTTAGTGGAGGGTTCCTTCTCGAGCCCTGTGGACACGTGGCCTTCCAGCCCCTGCTGCAGTACTTGGGGGAAAAGAGGGCTCGCCCTTCTCAAGGCAGCTGCCTTTCATGAGCAGGTTCATCCTGGAGCTGAGCTGAGACCCACTGCCTTATCCGTCCCCTGGCCCACACCCTCCCAAACCCAGCAGGCCCTGGAACAGTGCCCCCGTTCCTGAGCGCACCCACCTGACACCTTGTGAGCCGCTGGTAGGCCGTAGTCCTGGTACTGGGGGGTGTAACAATGCGGGGGGAACCCACTCTTGGCGGGCTCCCCGGGGCTCACGGCAGATGGCAGCTGTGGCAGTGTTAAGTGTCTCAGGGGCTGGCTCCCACCTCTCATGGGATGTCGGATGAACTCATCTGAAAGGCCAATGTCAGACAGTGGGGGGAGAGACCGTGACGCCCCCCAACGTCCCTCTTTCCTTCACACAAGGAGCCCAGAGGTTTCTGACTGCGGCACCCGGGCCAGAGTGGAAAGCGGGGAAGGGGGGGCAGAGACACCCTCCTGTCCTTGCAAGGCTCGGACGGGAGGGAGTGGGGAGCCCCGCCACCGGCACAACGCCTTCCCCCAGGCCCGTGCTCACCACTGGGGACGTCTGCGCTCATCAGAGGGCAGTTCCCACTGCCCCGGAGACTCTTCATCCTTTTCCACATCAAGTGTGAAGTGCTGCTGCCTGGTGGATCCCCCTGGGGGTGGAAGTGCAGAGGTTGAGGGGAGAGGCCAGAGACCCAGGTCCTCAAGCTGCGTCAGGCTGAGGTGGGCAGTGGGCAGCGCTCTGCGCCAGCCTGGCTCTCTGTGCTCAGCCCCCGCTCCCCGCCGGCCTCCCCAGGGGCGGCGCTCACCCCACTCATGTCTTGGAAGGCTTGCTCCTCGTATTCCAGCTGTCGCTTCAGCTTCAGCTTGTTGGAGAGGGCGACCATGGCCGGGCTCATCACATCTGGGCCCTGAGGCCCGAAGCCCTTTGCAGACCTGCCAAGCCCAAGAGATGGGCGTGAGGGAGTCTGGAGCCCCACACACCCAGGGCCCTCCTTCCTTCTGCAGTGCCCTCTACCTGGTGAGATGCTGAGGGTTCAGGGCACCTGCACCTCCCTCCACACGTGCCCGCCCGTACCCGGGCAGCCTCCAGTCCTGGCTTGCGGCCGCCCAGCTCCGTGACGGCAGTCTTTGGGAGGGCTGCTGCTGCCCCATTGCCCCTGCCCTGCCTGGACCACCCCCCCACCGAGAACCAGGGAGGGGGCTCTGTAGAAGGCAAGGGCCCTGGGAGCTTGAGGTGAGTTCCCAGTGGGTGGAAGGGACTTGTGGGGGGAGACGGGGAGGGTGTGCTGGACCCCGGCAGCCGAAGGCAGGGGGAAGGCACGGGCATCTTTTTGCTTTCCTCAACCAGGCTTCCACGGCCGAGCCAAGGACCCATCCCTCCGTGTTGTGCGTGTGGGTATTGTGCGGCTCAGCTCACGAGCTCTGCATAAAACAAGGCGCTCTGGGGGGTGGTCGGGAGAGCCACTGGTGCTCAGGGCCCTGGACAAGCTCCTTCTCTCCCTGGCCGCAGGCCCCTCGTGGTGTCCTCCAGCCCAGATAAAACATGTCGCACTCGAGGCCTCACATACCTAGGGGCGAGTCCCCTGAAGCCCGAGCTCTCAGAGTTCTGAGAAGGGCTGAGTGGAGTATCAGACCCCTGTGGAGTGG